CCATGCCCCCCCCGAACCGCAGCCGCTTGCGTTCCCCGCCCCGCGGCGGCGGCCGTGGCAAGCGCCCTCCCCGCTACGCGGGAACATTTCTGCTGAGGGCACGGCAGCACAGTTTGTTCTGCAGACACGATCCCGCAGGATCTCTGGGGTTTGCGCAAAGGAGATCGGCATGATTTCCCAGCAAGCAGCACCCGAGTAAATGCCTTTGACAGACTTGCCCGAGCAAGATCTTATTTGAAAGCCTTGCTGCTGCCCTGCCTGTGCCACGAAGGCCGATGTGAGCTTAACTCGAAGAGCAGCCCACGCACCGACCTCGCGGAGAGGCACCGGCCGCTGCCCAGCCTTTCCACTTCGCCAGGAATCCTGTTTGTTTTGTTTCTTTCCATTTGGTTTCAGTCCAGGTTGGATCCAAACCAGAGTTTTTGAAAGCATCCAGTAAACTGGAAACTGCCGAAGTGCCGCGTCTCACGAGACCGAGACCCCTCCGCAGTTCACTGCTACGAGGGGCACAAAGGCTGTTCCCGTGGGAGCTGCGGGTTCCCAGGGTCCCCGTCTTTATCATCCGCCTGAGGGCGTCTGAGCCGGCAGTTTAAGGTGCTCAGGCACAGGGCAGAGCCCTGCGGGACCCGGGAGGGCGGTTCCCTCTCAGCTCCAGGCCGGATTCAGTGAATTCAGTGTTTTATCCCCAAGGATAAAACGTTTGGGAACGCAGCGCTTTCCAAGAGGAAGTGCTGTGAGAACTCGGCACCTCCTACGAGACCACGCAACCGCACTCGTGCTGACTCACTTCGAAAAAGTCCGCGAGACCTTCTCTGAGTGACAGTAGACAGTGTGGAAAAGCCAGGAGAAGCTGAGGCACAGCACCGCTCCCAGGAAGAACATCCCGAACACCACCTTCTCCTGGAGAGGAGCCATGAAATACATGTTGGGCCGCAGCATGGTCAGGATCCCCAAGCAGAGGAACAAAACAAAACCTGCAGGGAAGACGCCAAAGGGGCGGTCAGGCAGAAGGAGAGCGAATGGATTCAGCGAAGAGCCAGGAGAAAGTCGGCCCTGGCTGTGCTCTGCGAGGCAGGGCCCTGGCCCCACACAGCTCGCAAGCGCACCCGGCGGCGCCC